CACATTTCCCCATACTTCAGCCTCCTGCCTGCCACCCAGTCTGGGCAGCCCGCACCGACCGCTCTGTTCCTCAGCAGCAGGGAGAGCAGGCATTAAAGACATCTGGGTTTGGTGGAGTTTGGCACTGTTTGCTGGAATACCTCTACAGTTTCAAAGTTCATTAAAGTTGGAAAAGACCTCTAAGATCATCCTGTCCAATCATCCACCAATATTACCCATTAAAGCATGTCCTTAAGTACCACATTTGCCCTTAAACACCTCCAGTGACTTCACCACTCCCCAGGCGGTCTGTTCCAAATGTTACTGTAACTACACATAGGGAACCTGTTCCAAATGACTGATGAATGGCTGTGCTTCCGTGCACCTCCACCCACCACACATCCCCAAACTTCTCGATGTGCCCGGACCACATGAAACTTTCTCCTAACGACTCTCCCTATGGAACCTGCCCTTCCTTCCTGCCTCCCTCCCTCCCAGCTGTGTCATCGCAGGTGTCCATCTGTCGTCCCACCCATCCCATAGCAGCAGCACGGGCAGTTTCCTGGCACTGAATTCCAGTCCTGCCCTGGAAACTGCAAATTGGTTGCCATGCTTGTGACATTGACCTGTTGTATCACTGCTTTGTGTATGTGGATACAAAGTGTTTTTTTTCTAAAGGTCTCCTGCTGTTCCTGTCCCAGCCCAGCTCAGAGCTATACCTGTGCGTGCCCCCACTTAAGGGACAGCAGCCCCACGCCAGCCTTCACCCATCAACGAGCAGCCCTAGGGGATGGCTGGCAGCACTCCCCCTCCCCCAGCTGACAGTTCCACGCAGACACGGAGCACACGCTTACTTTTGGCCAAGTCTCCATCCATCATCGCTGCAGGGAGCGATGCGGGGCTGCGGGAGGGGTGAACCCACCACCCCGTGCCCCTACACCAGGTGCCGGCCCCGGCCTCAGGGCGCGGGGAAGCCAATCTCACGCAATCGCTTAACGCAAGCTGGGAACGTGTGAGAAGGGCTCGGGACAACGCGCCCCAACGCAGGGATGCAGGCGTCCGGCCGCACGCTTGCACGTGGCAAAGGTGAGCACGCGGGCGTGCACAAGCGTGACACGGGCAGCAACTTCGCTGCTCGCACAGCCTGCGCTGCCCGAAGGGGAAACGTTCACCTTTCCCTTCCGCACCTTCCCCACTCGCGGACACCCCCCGGCCCCTCGCACCTTGTTTGACCGCTTTCACCACGATGGGCTCCTTGCAGCTCCGGATCACCTCCAGCACGTCGTAGCGCGGCAGCCCGGACACGCGCACCCCCTGCACCTCCAGCAGCAGCTCCCCCTCACTCAGCGCCTGCTCGCCGCCTCCCGCCGCCACCGCTCCCGCGTAGGGGAACTCGCCGTGCTCCGCGCCGCCCAGCAGGACGAAGCCCAGCTGCCCGCCGGGCCCGCGGCTCAGCGCGCACTGCCGCACCCGGCTGGCCCAGTGGTTCTTCTTCTGGACGACCCGCGACATGGTGCTGCGCGGCTCTCCGCGCCCGCGGCGGCGCGTTAAGCAGGTGCGCAGGGGCTCCGACCCGCCGCTTCATAGACCGCTCCGCGCCGCCCGCTCACAGCCATCACCGCCGGCGCCGCGCCCGCATGGCTCCGCGCCCGCGGAAGGGACTTCCAAAAAATAAAAAAAATAAAAATAAAAACTGAAAGAAAGAAAGAAAGAAAAGTAAAAATTTAAAAAGTGCTCAGTAAGCAAATCCGGCTCCTTCTCGCCCTCCCTGTCTCCACCGCCGCGGGGCCGCTTTGTTTTCTCTCCTTCCTCCTCCGCTCTCTCTCTCTCCGCGGGCGCGGACGCGGCGCCTTTAAGGCGCTACAAAGCCCCGCTTGTTTTGTTTCACTTCGCTCCGTCCCGCTCCGCCGCGCTCCGCACCTCCGGCGCAGGCGCCTTTGCACGGCCCGCCCCGGCCCCCGCCCGCCTCCCCGCCCCCGTGCCGGCCCCGCACCCCGGGTCGCGCCGCTCGGGGCGGGCGGAGGCGGAGCGCCCCGCGGGAAAGCCGTGCGCGCGGCGGTGCGGAGGGGCGATGGGTGCCGCGCTTGGCTGCGGTCGTTGCGAGGCGCGCAGGTGCGGGCGGGCGCCCACCTGTGCCTTCGGGTGGCGCGGTGGGAAGGCTCGCACGAGCTGGGAGCGCGGCAAGGAAGCGCTCTGCGGCGCTGGGAGACGGCTGTGCGCGAGTTCTCGGTTCTCTGCTCGTCTGCTCCGGAGTGCTGGAATTTCTAACGTCAATAATGTTCTCGCGTTTTGTTTTTCCCATGCAGTTGTTTAGACGCGGGACAGACTGCACTGATGTGTTTCTGGCGGGGAGGAATGGTATGCGTCCATCCACGCGCTCTTCAAATTTACCCTGAACTCGTGCAAAAACTCCAGTGGGACTGTCGTTGTGCCTACACCAGCTGTCCCTCCCCGCTCACACTCCATACCTCTAAACCTGAAAGCCAGGCCTCATTTTGAGCAGTCTGATGCTCGACCATTCCCCATTCAGCAAGGAGTTTGGTTGCAGATGTGTGCATGCTGTATTTCAGTGCTAATCAGAACTGAGAAGTGAACCTGAGGAGCAAAGCCCCTTCTTGTTCCCTGTGCTGCCCTCCGGTGTGCTCTCGTCTCTCAGGCCATGCATGTACCCAAAAGATCTGTGATGCCAACAGACCTGGGGGACATATGCAACAGCTGTGGCTGCAGCTCAGCTGGGCTTGGTTCCTGGACCCCAAAAGTGGGATGACAGCAATGCCTTTCCCAGCCTTTCCATCTGTCCCAGACGAAAGAGGAAGTCCTGTCCTCTCACATACAGCATCCCCATCACTGCTTCCCTGCAGCCAAGATCCCTCCCACAGCTTTTTCCTCAAATCCCCATCACTGCAAGCAATGCTCTGCAGCCACAGAAACTGTGCTCTCCAGCCTGAGCGGCACAGCCAGGGAACGGGGACGCTTTGTCCCGTTGAAAGATCACAGCAGTCAGCCCTGTGCTCTGCATGCTTCCATGGGAAGCTTGTGGGACTGCCAGGGCTCGAAAAGCTGAAATGAATAACGGAGCCCCTTCCAAGGAGCACAGCAGAACCTGCCTCCCTGGGAGCAAAGGGAAATGCAGAAATGGACTCGTGAAATACAAATTGGAACGCAACAAAATGGAACAGAGTAGAATAGTTCCATTGGAAGGGACTTTCCAAAGACCACTGAATTCAGCAGCCTGACCTCCTTAGCACTAACCAAAAGTTAAAGCATATTAATGAGGGCGTTGCAAAGTGCCTCTTGAACACCAACACTCATGGTGTTCACATCCACTGTTTGGTCTCCATAAATGTTCAGCACGACTTAATAAATGTCAGAGAGTGCATTTTTTTCCACATGGAGGAATTCAATTCCACCCCTTTTCTCCATACGCCCCTCCACGTCAGACACCATTTTGTCAGCCTGCCCCTCTGCAGTCTCAGACAAGAAATAAATTGTTTTCCAACTGTTAGGGTAAGCAGTTATGAAACAAAGCTGCCAAAGGTAATGTTGGATTCTTCAGTGCCAGACATGCTTTCATTAAGGCCCACTACATTTTGAAAGAAATTTTCGCTATCATAGGCAGATTAATATGTTATCTGCTACGCCTAGCTCTTACATCCCCTCCATTCCTCTAAAATGTTTCTTTCCACTTGGAGCTTTATTTCTTACCAATGAAAGCTGTGCTGATTCTCTAGGTTGCTGCAGCTGTAGCTGCCTTATGTCTGCACTGGCTGGCTTTGTGACCAGCTACCCAGTTTGTCACTTTTAGGATCAGGGCACACTTTTATTGTGCCTTGACCAGTAAAAACTGGATCAGTGATCAAGCTAAGTCCCCCAGGGAATGAATGCAGCAGCGTGGCTGAAGGGAAGGGTTTGTATTTCATCTTCCTGCTGGCTGATGGCTGTGTCACCCGTGTGAGATCACAGCCCAAGGAGAGTCCTGTCTGCAGCTGGGACCTGGGTGTGATGTATTTTCGTCACCACTGCTGTGGGTGATGTGTGATGTGACAGCCCCACCAAGCTAAAATTCATCTGGGACTCATGTTGAGTGTCACATGAGTTGTGGCTGCCCTGAGCAGAGCTTACAGAACTGCTCGTGCCTCATGGAAAAAAAAATACATTGAAGAACATTATTTGGAAAAGCAATTTTGCTGGTAAGATTTATGGCGCGACAGATTTAATAGGGTCATTTTCTGTTTGCTCACAAACACTGCAAAACTAATGCAAGTGTGATCTGTTCCTGTCGTAATGCTAATGCTGTACTCGTGCCTGGGCCGCTGTGTTCTCAAAATTGATCTTTCGGGTAATTAACAAAACCCACAAACCTCACCCAGTGCTTTCTCTTGATTTTAGGACCCTCCCTTCAGTTTTCCTCCACACACACACACTGTGTTTGACTGGCTGCCTACCACAGAGCAGGGAGAAGCATGGACAGTTCTCACCCAAGCAAGGCTCTCTGCAGCCATCCTGCCTCACCTGCTGCTCAGGCCTCACCCCACATGGGATGCCACACACTTCAGCTCCCTGCCCATCACACTGCTGTGAAAAGCTACTTTGGACTGACTGAGAGCTCTGAGCAGAGCCTAGTTCCCTTGCTCTTCCATCTACAGTAACTATGGTTTGGTGGCCCATCTGTCAGCAGCCTCTAATCTGTCAGGATAAGTGAAATGAGCCTTTCTTCCTCCTCCAGAAGGGGTTTTGTGGGCTTCGAGTCCCACCTCAAATACACAATAGAAACTAAAATGGTTTTTCCAAGAACAACGCCAGTCTGCACTCTTGGTCTCATAAGCATCTCTGAAATTTTGTGCTTAAAAAGACAGTGATTAAGGCTACAAATGAAAGCATAGATAACTTAATACAACAGAATGAATTTTTAATTTCCAGCTAAAAAACAGACCCTCAATACTTTGATATCAAGGGCTTTGAGGCTTCAAAAGCCTGACCCTTTGGATCCTGGGACAAAAGAAACCTTAAACAAGGTCTGGCTGTTTTCCTGTTGGTACAGTCATGCTGCCAGCATCTATCAATAGGAAAATCATGGTTTACTGCACTTCCCAAACAGGAATTGTTGTCCACAGTAGTCCCAACATCTACCAGAGAGGAACTGTCTGCACTGTGTTTCTGTACAAGCTGGTACTGCTCCATGGCAGCTGCTGCTCTTGGAGGAAAGCTCCAGATCCAAACACATGCAGATCTGGTCAGTGCCACAGAGCAGCCAACATGGACACACTTGTGGTTTTTCACTGGTTTGGGCACCATCTCACAGCATGCTCCACAGAAGACCGTATGACTTTGGGACCACAAGAGCCCAAGAAAAGATAACTCACCCCTCCCCGGGATGCACTATCGCCCTCCTCTGCAATTTATTTCAATAATAACACACACAGTGGAATACAAAGCTGACGATCAATCTCATAAGCATATTAAGACACTCCAGGGTGTATTTTATAGGGCCATTAATATACTTCTTAGGTGGTTAAAGTCACCCATAGCATCAATTAATGGCACCATAAAGCATGCTCTATCATATCTTACAGCTTAAATAACACCCAGCAGGCTGGGCACGGGGGACGTGGGCACGCTTGCTGGGTGCAATGCAAGAGCACAGTGTCTGTCTGACCACCTGGATGTGAGCACAGGTATCCTGAAGATAGCACAAAATCAGCACTCATTTTAAAAAGCAAGGTTTAAAAAAAAAAAAAAAAAAAAAGACAAAAAAAAAAAAACCCTCCCCAGTTAAGAAGCACAGATCTGATTAACTCTCACTGGCATCGTGCTCCTGAGCTTTACAGCTTCTTTCAGGCATACCTTCCCTACAGAAGCTGTCTCTGTTCCAGGATGTGATTGCTGTGGGTGCGGCTTTTTGGCACGGATGGAGTCGGTCTGTTCCCAGCCTTGTGGAGCTCGAGGAGTCCAGAGCGGAGGGGATAGGGCACAGCCTGTTGGTTATATTAAGGATCAGATTTTCTTTGCAAGGCAGGCTGAGCCTGCCACGTCTTAACTTTCCAAAAGATAACTGAAGGAAACCTCCACACAGCATTTGGGGCAGTGGAGGTCTGTGACATGTAGGACACATAGGACATTTACCACTAGCATTTTCAAAATGGAAAAAGCCTTGACTTTAATGTTTCTTGTCTACAATCTATTCACAGAAGGAGGCAGTTTCTGCCCTAGCCTGGTACATATTAAGTTTTACCACTTTACATTCTTTCCTGGGAATTTTTCTTTTGCTATTTTAATGGACCCACATGAGTTGAGAGGAACTTTTCAGTAGACAATAGCTTTACCCTACTATCCTAGTTCATCTGTGCCATCTGATAAACTTTCCTCTTTCTGCTTCTACTGATGGAAATGGAGAAGGACTATCTCTGATCTGTGCTATTGAAAGTCAGCACAACTGCCCAAGACTCCAAGAGTCCTCCTTTATTCTTCCTTCTGCAGATACAGTGAGCCTCTTTGAATCTTCAAACTCACTGCCACTTTTGCTGAGGCAAAAGAGACAACATTCCTTGTTCTTCTACTGGTACACACTATCTCCATTCTATCACCTATTTTCTTCATGCATCTTCAATGCTTAAAACTTAGTATTCTTACTTTTCTTTTTTTTAAACTCTGAAAGCTAATGGGAGACAGCTAAATGGAAAGGCTTCTGCTGTAGGTCTTTACAGTACCATAAGTTCACATCTTCAGTACTGTGTTCTGCATTGGGCTCCTCACTACAAGAAAGAAATTGAGGCCCTGGAGTGTGCCCAGCAAAAGGCAGCTAAGGTGGTGAGGGAGTGGAGCACAAGTCTTTTGGGGAATGGCTGAGGGAACTGGGATGGTTCAGTGTGGAGAAGATGAGGCTCATAGGAGACCTTATTGTCCTCTACGACTGCCTGAAGTCGCAACAAAGCGCAGCAACAGAAGATGCTGAGGGTTTGGGAAAGAATTCCTTCAGAATTGGACGCATTCTTCCTTCAGCAGTGCTAAGCAGCTGGGAGGTCACAGCTGTAATTCTGGCAAAAGTCAGGGCAGGCGAGGATGCGGCACAGCCCTGATCCTGCAGCCATCTGGGGAGCGGCTTTGCTTTGCTCTCATGAGAGTGATTTACAGGCATCAGACAAGCCACATATGTAAGGCTGAGCACACACATAAATGTTCTCAGAAGCAGAGCCAATTAACACACCACAGATATCATTCAGTGATTTGGAAGATATACAACCCATCTTACGTTTAGAAGCACAAGAATTCATTGCAGTGTCTGATGTTGTGTCTTCACAGAAATGTCTCTCATCAACTTACTGCTTACTGGTCCTGCAAAAGCAATGTCAAGCTGAAGCAGCACCTACTTCACACAGAAGCTTGATCCAAAGAAAGCAACATCTTGGATATGCGACACCACCCCTGCAGTGCTTTACCCTCTCTGGAAAGATTACCATCATCTTTACTATTTATATATAATAAAGGCCAGAAGCCTCAGCTGGGATGGAGATCTCCCTCTGCTGAACATCAAGGGAGATACTCTTCTTCTCCAAGCAGCTCCAAAAAGTGACTGAGGGCCTGGGAGCAGGTCAGTGGCAGTCAGGATTAGGATTCCTGACTCCCTGCCTAGCGTCCTAATATTATCTTGCATTGTCTCCCAGACTGTCTTGTAACTCTTTCACATGAACCACAGGCCTGAATTAGCATGTCTCGCTGCATAATCTGCCAGATCGCCCCGCGCACTAAATTAACCAGGGGCTGAGCAAACATCATGGGAACAGCTCTTGTATATTGTATGTGGGCTAAGTTTCTTCCTGCAGTGTTGTTTGCTCTGTATTTTCCTAGCATCATCATGGAAGTATGACAGGCTGAGGGGCTGGCTGTATGCTCCCTCCTGCTCCAGCCTCACATTTTCTGCAGCCCTGGAGATTAAGCCTGGCTTGGCAGCAGCGCTAACAAACCAACTCCAGCTGGGTGTCAGATGAGATAGTGAGCAGCAGCACAAGGGCTTGGATGAGCAGCAAGCAGCTTGTCCTCATGGCACACGCTGGCATCCTTCATGTGATATTTACAAGCTCCCTCCCTTGTTCCACAGCCAGTGTGACAGTGGGCTTTCCTCTGCCACATGGGCATCTTATCTTATGGCATCTCAATGCAAGTTTCAACCTCCTCTTGTAGAGAAAATCTAGCTTCCCACTGCCAGTAAGATTTGAATGACCAGATATGGGGGAAATGGTGCAAAGCCCACAAAGTTCTCACTGTTCTCCTCCACAAGTGAGGACATGCAGGCTCAGAACATGAGCAGGGCTGGACCGTGAGGAGAGGATGGAATGTTCAAGATGGTCCACATAGTCCTCTGGACTCTGCCTTGTACAGCTGCTAAGCCATGGGACTGGAAGACATATGGGGCCTTGGGCAGAAGCAGAATGACAAGTGACTCGCTGAACACCATCCCTTCCTGGCAGCAGGATCAGTACAGTCAGCTGTGACATCTGAGTCACATCCCCGGGAGGCTCCAAGAGGAAGCAGCTCCACCTTCCTGCTCTGCCCAGCCCAGATCCAGGCACCCACAGCACTGCCCTGCCCTCAGCTTATTGCCAGACTTGACATGGAAGAAATTTGAGTGCTGTCTCCATCAGGCAACAGGAACAGCTCAGCTCCAAGTGCTCAGCCCTCAGCATGAGATCTCAGAGGCTTTCCACAATCCAAGGCTGCTCAAAGCCTCACACAAGAAACACATCTATATAGCACCACAAGGGTGATGAAGACTGCCTGCCATACATCTATGTATGCCAATAGTCACATCTCAGCACTGTTAGGCTCATTTCTTTTTTTACTGCCGTAGAAGTCTTAACACTTCTGACTTGCATCAAGTGAGCTTTTATTTGAAGATCTGGATCCATGGAAACAGAACTACATCACAGAGCAGCAAGTGGTTCACTCAAGAGAGAACCAGAACTGGGAGAAAGCCCATTGGAAATAACCTTGCACGAGATGTCGGTGCCTGCCCTTATCAGATGTTGCTCCTCTATTGCTCTTTGTAGACAACACGCAAAGCAAGAAATTGTCCTTGTACTTTTAACGTGCTGGTTATAAAGCTGGTTCTAAAGTACACGGCTCTGTTTTCCATCTCCTCTATGTGTCGCCAGGCCCTATGTACAACTCTACTGGCTGGAGATGAGTCATATTCATCCTCCACAATATGACAGGAATTAGACTCAAGGCAGAGTGGAAGGTTTGCTTTGGACAAGGTCCAACTTCAGCATGTCGATAACTTCGGAAAACACATTGCTCTCCAACAAGCAAGTTTCAGCTCCTAGATGATTCAGCAGCAGCTCTACAAGGAAATATGGATGTGAGAAGTCCCCCTAGGAATTCCCACAAAATTCTTCATTAAAATAAAATGCCTTGGGCCCAGCAATGGGATGGAAACTGGGAGATGAGAACTGTGCTTTCATGTCTGCAGAGACTCCTAAGTGCTGGGAAATTTTTAGTGGAGTTTCAGGGCAGGAGAGGAAAAAAATGTTATGGGTAAGAAGGCAGAAACCAGAGGGCTGAGCAGGAGAAGGAAGGAGTATGGAGCCCTGGGTTTGGTTCCAACCTCTCTGAATGGGCTGTAACTTTGTGGTCACTAAAAGCAGGAAAATATTGAGTGGGTAAGGGGAAAGTTGCAGTGAGAAACTTTTAAAAGCCACGTATGCATAAGGCAGCCTGAGAAATGGGAAGAGGCAAAGACAGCTCCAAAATAAAAAGTGCCAAAGAACTGCCTGACACAAATTAATTTCTGAAAGGGCATAGCAAGCCAAAGATGAAATATTCATCTCCTCATCTGTTCTGACCTCTTTCAATTCATTATCCTGATGTTAACTTCAGCACCACACTTAGCTTCTGCCTGCATACAAAGTCAGCAGAGACCAGCCAGCCCTTGCTCAAGGTGTAAGGGTTTTTCTGAACACATTTCAACAGCAGACATGACGGAGGGAACTGAGAGCTATCAAACCACTGCAGCAGCATGAAGTTACTCTAATCAGTGTCTCTGGGCAAACTGCTTCATGCTTGGAAACGCATTCCAGGAGATGGCACAGCCCTGCTCCCCTCTTTCATCATTGCCTAAGAGAGCTGTGCAAGGGTAGATAGCACCTTCTGAGCACACTCTTGCAGAGAGCAACATCCTCTCACTGTGAAGTTCTCCAGCTCGTGCCCGGCAGAGCTCATGCTCACCTACATGCAGCCTTTGGAGAATCCATCATCAGTTCCATAAAGGAAACCCTTTTACATTTCCCTGTGTAGCACAGAGCTGCCCTTCATCCTCCAGGAGTCCCACCACAGCACTCAACTGCTTGGAACCCCCCACACTTCCAGGCTCTAATTGCTACTCAGAACTGACATTTCAAAGGATGCCACTTCATTCTCTCATTTGTGTAGAGCTTGCCTGTGTTTTTTGCTTACTGCTGCCTCTTCCCCAGAGCCCTCACTGGTGAATGCAGCTCACTGATGACCTCTCCATTATAAATAGTTTCATATTTTTAAATAAATACAGGCTGGTGCTATGGTTATGTGGATATTTCATCCAGCCTGCAGCACAAAGAGCTAGATCTGACAGAAGCAACCACCACTTTATTTGTCTTGCTGCTGCTTATTCATCACAGAAAGCAAGGAGAAGGGGCCAGCACCCCATCTAGCAGTGTACAGCAGTGGAAGTCTTATTTTAAATGCATCGCAAGAAGCAGCTTCTCATCACAGTGCAGCAGATGGAGGCAATAAGGAGAAAACTTTCTGGTTGTTATCCAGTTACTTGAGATCTACAGCACTGCAGAACTGTTAGCAAGCCACAGAGTGAATCAGAGGAAGGTGCATGGGGGCTGGGGGGAGTTCTTTTATATGGGTTGCCACTGCATTGCAACAGAATTAACACATTAGCTTGACATTTAGCCGATATAATTTATTCCTAATATGGGAGCAAAATGCATCCTGAGCAGTGGTATTAAAAATCAGAAGCCAAGCCAAACGTGACAATGAAGAAAGGGAAAGAGCCCACATTCAGGTCAGATTTTGCAATATGTTGGATTTTTCAGCCCAATAACTTTTGTTGTCCTGATTTCCCTTCCTTCCTTCTGTGTGTATGCAGAGGTACTACACAGATCACAGTGGACTTTATGCAGACATGTTTGTCCCTCACAGGCATCTTCCCATGCAGCAAAAGGCTCACAGGCTCACCCAAGCAGCACCCAGGGTCTGTGCTTGCTCCCACATGGCACACTGCCAGTCCTGATGCTCCTCATCTTCCATTCCCAGCCTACAGCTTCAACAAAACATGGGGTGTGAGCAGGGCCCGCTGCCAGCCGAGTCATTTACAGCAATAAAACCCATCCCTGTGGACAAGGAGGAGCAGCAATAGCTGATACCAACTGTTCTTCAAATGCTCCCATCCCAAGAAGGGCGCTCCTGGGCTTAAAAAGCATCTCCCAGAGATGAGAAACCCCAACCTTGCTGCCACACACCTCTGAGCAGTTAGGAATAGCAGGTACATGGGTGCACTCCCAGGGAGCCTGTGTAGGCATGGGAGCAGCAGAAAGATCTGCTACCCCCAGACTCACAGCAAACAGATGCATAGCAAAAAGTCTCTCAACCAATTTGCTTTGCAGAGAGCAACACAAAACCTGCCTCAGCCTGAGAGCTCAGCTCAGGACAGCAGAGGTATAATTACATAATTGCCAGTAAATCGCGTTATTTATTAAAGTGCTTTGCATAGTACAGCAGCCTTCAGAGGAGGCAATCCCTGCTGTGGGCAGGTCCCCCCACGCCACCCTGCTTGTCAGACCAGCTCCTGGGGAAGTGGCAGCCTCGAGGACATGCAGGTGCCCACAGCCCCCATACTGCCCTCTCCTCTGCTTTCTAATGGCCAAGCACTCATGTTAGTCTCGGATCACTGAGTGCCTGAATGGTGATTCTGTTATGTAAGATGTGCATGCACGTACACATGTGTATATACACACAGAGCCCTGTGGAGTTAACCTGCCATGCAAGACAGGGTGGGAATAAGTGCTGGGTTATTAACCTCTGGGAAAAAATAACTGAGAGCATTGGCTAAGAAAGGGACGACAGCTATAAACTATTTTCCCCACAGTTCCTGAACTGCAGTTCACAAAACATTATGTTCCTAATTAAAAAACCAGGAAGTTTTAATGTCAGAAGTGGCTTTTGAGACAAAGCATAGGTCTTCCTGTTCATTAAAATCTTCACTGCATATAATTTCTTTGCCTTTAACTGTGAGCTTTAAGGTTCTTCCACAGTTAAGTCGATAATTGGCACAGATCTCTCCCCATCACACAGCTCTTGCAGCGCTGCTGGTTGGCTGCACTGTGGGTGGATGCTGCTTTCCCTCAAGTCCCTTTGGGACCACAGCTGTGAGTCCCCTCGTGCAGAGCACAACATGCTGGAAAGCTACATCCCAGCTCTGGGCAGCTCTTGTGCACCAGACAATTCTCCTCCACTCTGGAAGCTGTCCACCAGCCCGACGAAAGCTCAGGGAAGATGCTCCCTAATATCATCTACACCACTTGTACTCAGCACTGCAGCTCAAGGCACACCTCATTTGAAAAGTAAAGACTTTCTCCGAGTTATTGCCCATTGAAAGAAAAGCAATAGGGTTCTTTACCCAGATTTATTCACTAAGGCTAAATAAGGCTTAACACCAAGATCACCTGCCTTCCAGTCATGCTTCACTGACAAACAACCCCCTTTCCATTTGTGTTTCAGATGCAAATTCATTAAGTCCAGTGTTTTCTGCATTTCTCACAAATGCAGACATAACTGCAATCTCAGATGAGGGAGGAAATGCTGAAGTGGCTTTTTTCCTTCATATCAAACACTTTTCCTCTGTGCCACAGCTGAGAGACCTAAGGACTCCTGTCCCACCCCAGGTGCTACAGGGACAGAGTCCCCACTTCCCTCCAGAAACCTGCCAGTACTAAAGAGGCTATGAGAAAGAAAGGGGTGGACTCTTCAGCTGGGTTTGTTGTGATAGGACAAATGGTTTAAAAAAAAAAAAAAAAAAAAAAAAAGGAGAGATTTAAATTTAAATTGGGTATAAGGAAAAAGGGTTTCATAGGATAAAGGTGGTGAAACACTGGCATAAGCTGCCCAGAGAGGTGGTGGGTACCTTGACCCTGGAAATACCCAAGGTCAGGCTGGACATGTTCAGAGTCCCTGATGGGGCTCCATGTCCTTGTTGACTGCACAGGGGTTGTAGTAGACAACCTATAAGTGTCCTTTCTAACTCCATACCTGCTCTAGGTCACCACAAGCATAGCCAACATCCCAGAGGAGATGGGATACATCTATCATGTATGAACATACCACAGAAGCTTCCCTACATGCACAGGTGGTAACAAACCCATTTCTTCCTGAAGTTATGGAAGAAAAATAAGATGTAAAACCAAGTCATACTCAGCTTATGTACTTAATTCCCAGCATGCAAAGATAAGAGCACGCCTGTGGCCTATCCTACACTGCATCTGATTCTCATTAGGTGCAGTGATTCCTGCTCAGTATGGTTTTATTACTCCCAGTGACACAACCCCATCCAGGCAGCTCCCTCCCTGTGCCTGCTCCGAGCAGATCCGTGTCAATGAAGCTTCCCAACCGAGCACACCGAGATCTGGAGGTACAGAGGGAATTCAGCTATTTGGGCACAAACCCTCATCTTAAGGTGTCTTAATATTTCGTTTTTCAATTAGTTAATTTGATTAAAGAAACTGATATTCTGGGATGGGAACAAAAACTGAGTTCTTACTCATGTTCATGGCCACCTTCAATTGAGGAGAAGTGTGTCATATACAGGGCTTGGGGCATTTCACAAATGTCCATCCTGATGGTAATCCTTATAAAATGCAGGTTTACCTCGCAGCAGAAATCCCTGCAGCAATCAGCAAGAGAATGATTTAATATACTCAAGGATTTTATTTTTTTTTTACTGGCAAAGGAACAGGAGAGCTATGGATTTACCCTAAACCCAAAATTCTTTTGTTAACACTGAAAAGACTGAGGAAGTTACACAGAACAAAAACATTAGCTATCCATTGCTGAAGCAGCAATAAAACATACAAGTTTAAGCTGAAAAGAATAAATCAGGTTTTGGTCCACAAACTGAGATACCCTCACAGCCCCAATTTCACGGTACTCTGCATGACCAGCCTCTGCCAAGAAAGAAGCAACCAAGAAACAAATGTTCCTTACCACTTTCCTGGCTCACAAGAGTAAAGGGGCCCTTCAGAACAACCACAGACACCTGAAGTCCACAGCCTCACTGGGGCTGCACTAACTTCTAGGAGCAGCACCAGGGCTACCAACTTAGTGCAGCAGAACACCATGACATCTCCTACCTGCAGAGGGATCTGGGGATGCTGTGCTGCCTTTATACCCCTTATCACAACTACCCTAGCACCTGGTGACAGCCATTAACTCAGAGTCAGAGGCAAAAGTGGTTTGGGAAGGGGTGAAGTTTAAGTGAGAAATAGAAGATATATTCAAATTCTGAGCAGTGAGGGTCTATGGAGGCAGGAAACATCCATGTGCCATGCGAGTGAAATGGCTAATGAATCAGCAAAGCTCAGCAGCTGTGAGTGAGCCACGGGTCAGAGACTGTGGAGAAAGGCAGGCATGGAACTGATTAATTGAAGGTAGCTGTGATCTGTCTACCAAAAATTCAATCAAGCAATTAGTACTGGGCAAGGAAGTGTTTCTGCACTTGGAAGATTTGGAAATATTTCTTTATCTCAGGACAAATGAAATGTGAGCTGAAAAGGGGAAAAAAAATCAGCTGAAGTCTGGCCTGAATCTCTAGATTAGTTTGAAAAGCACCTTTTCCACTCTGGCCTTATTGTAATTACTTTATAATTATCTTACCTCTGAATATGAGAAAGATGACTCAGAGAGGATATCTGGAAAGCAATTTCATTTTAAACACTGAAAATATTTCAGGCTGTTAAATAAAGCTATATTGAAACCTGTCTTCTTAAAGTGAAAAAGACATTTTCAACAAGTCAGCATTTGTTGTTTTTTTTTTCCTTTGAGAAAAAGTCTTCCAGCTAAAAATCCTTGACCCCCTCAGTCACTGTCCATGGCACGTTACCAAGCTCTAAAGGCAACAGCTTTGGAGAAGAAGGTCATGTTTTCTTAGTTATCCTAAATGAGACACTCTGTCAAACAGCACTTATTAATTATCCAGACGTTGAAAGCAAAATACAACCAAGGGAAGTGGGACAGGGCGGTCACAGTCCACATCTCCTTCACCTCCTCAATCCACTGCTTTTCTTCTTTGTTTTAATTATTTTAGTTATCTTAAATGAGACATCAGTCAAAAACACAAGCATTTCTCCAAAGGGGAGACGTAGGAGATAAGATTTCAGTTGACCCTTGAATTCATAATGGAGTGACTCAGTTTCCCATGACAAAAAGTTTAACTTGTTAGGCAGTAAGATTCTCCAGAAAGTCAGGAAAAGGCCAAAGCAGAACCTGCTACAACACTGCACAGACACAGCCCCCAGCACAGAGCAAAGCTTTTTGAAAAGTGCTCTGTGAACAGAGAGCCCCAAAATTGCATCCCAGCACACATACTGCTGCCAGAAGCCTTGGTTGATGATGGCAGGACAAGGAGGAGCCTGGGGCGTTCCTGGCTTCAGGAAAGGAGCAAGCAAATCAAGGTGTTCTCATGCCTAAGGGCTTCTTCTCTTCCTGTGGAGAAGAGACCTTTTGAACAGGGACCTGCAGGCTGTACAGCTCAGCCCAGCTCTGGTCCCAGCAGCATGGTGGCACCTCCCCTGAGCAAAGGACACAACACAGAAATAGCAACATGTCTCAACAATTGGCACTGTGCTGGAAAGGTGACTTCAGTTTGCCCTTCGGTCCAGGGACAAAGGACTGGCAGTGTAATGATGGGAGCTGTTTGAGTCCTGCCTGGCAAGAGGGGAACTGGCAGAAGCACCACATGGCTTTTTTGCAGCAAAGAAACAAGGTCAAGGATTCAGCTCATTCCATCTGTGGTATTTCTATGCTGTAATTTATTTAACAGTAGGAACAAGAGGCCCTATCAGAAATCAAGACCCTCATAGTCCAGGAGAAACAGGAGAGACCAAGACCTCAAAGCTGCTGTTCTCCAACTCCAGCTCCCCATTGAGGGCTTTGCCATCAGTGATGGTGGACCTCCAGCCATCCTTACTCTGCAGAGAGGCCTCAGCAGCCACTAACAAAGCCCTCACAGCTCTGCCTCCAGCATGGATGGACTTCACTGGGCACGGGGTAGGAGACAAGGCAGGTGCAGAGGCACAACAGGGCAGCCCAAAGGATGGGAACCCAGATTCAGCTGTGGCTTCCTATTGGGCTGTTATTGTACAGGAACTTACTCCATTCTCCTTCGGCACCTTTGCACTTCACTGACAGTATCATTAAGTTAGCCTTGAGCCTTTTGGATGCTGTAAGCATCCTCCTGCATGAATTATGCCCTCAGTGAAAAAACAACTTCCACTCCCAGTTACATCGATATAAGCCTTCAAATGATGAATTCAGCTTTGCATCAATGCCTTTGACAGATACAGGCTCCTTGAGCCCAGCTTGGCTGTGACTCAGACATGGATTTCAGCAGTGCTGTGCTGCAAACACAGCTTTCCTTCCAGTCTTAACTCTGCTCAACCTCTGCTCGTTTGGGATAGTTGGGGCTGAAAGCACAAAGTGAACCTTCTCCATTTTTTCGCTCCATCCCATCCTTGCAGCATTTAGGGGAGGATTCTGGTCTTCTCATTCACTCCATAGAATCATTAAGGCTGGAAAAGACATCTAAGGTCATCAAGTCCAATCATCAACCCATCCCCACCATGCCCAGTAACCACGTCCCTCAGTGCCACATCTCCATCAAGCCAGCGAGTTCCTACTGGAGATCCATCCATCTCTACCACACATAAAAATTGCACCCTGAATAGAAAAAATTTATTAAAGACAGAGTTGCTCACTGCAAGCATAGCCCAGGAAGATTTGGGGTTATGGTTTTCCTGGGCTCATTTATGAATTGTGGTCACTCCAACATGGTCCTTTGCTGTCACATGTCACTGCTGAGACATTTGATGTAGTCAGCTTGGTAAAGCCAAACTCCCTCTGAAATGAAAATGGCTTTTCCCCGGGCAACAAGGGTGTTCAATTGGCCCTAGAAGCTCAGGATATTGGTTATAGATAGTTAAAAAAAAAAAGAGGAAAAGAAGAAAGAAAAAAAAAAAAAAGAAAAGAAAGAAATCTCCCTCTGGATTTAGTGTATAGTCATTAACAAGGTGTCCCATAGGTAGAACATGATTTATTGAAAACTAAAGAGAATGTCCTGGTTTTGCTAGAATGGAGGTTTTTGTTCTACTTGGGGTACTTTATATGAAACAGATGCACAGTCGATAAATCACGCTGTCCTGCAGTAAGGATAGACTGCATTTTCTGTATAAATTATCTTGCTCTCTGTAGGCAAAAGCTAGGGATGAATACAGGGGTACTCTCACATCCTAAAAATCATTGATTATTATTGTTGGAGAAAATAAATCCCTTGGCTAGCAGGATGTAGCTGTGGCAAGAACAGTCGATGCAAAACTCCTTACAGAAATCACTTCCAGAATAAGAATTTGATTAAAAGATGAAACAATGAGGATACTTGAAATTTATGACCAGCAGGACATGCTGCTTTCTCAAGTTTCCCTTAGAGTGTTTCAAATGGCTGCCTCCAAAAAAAGCAAGCCCATTCAAATACTTCTGCAAGCTGAAAACCTATTTACAATTTTTTTTTTCTTTGGCAATGCCATTAATCAGTGCTCAGGCAGCTTACAGTGCGGAGATGCAGCAAGGAAAGCAGCAGGACCCGCCAGCCGAGAGAGGAATGGTCTTTGTTGGAGAGCTGCTAAAATATGTATACAGAAAGCCATAACGTGGGTGGCTTTATACAGAACTTAGAATGCAATAGGATATTGCAGTTTTTCAATAAAACTAGTGAGGAGCAGTGCCACGGGACAGGATTTCCTGGAGCTTACTGCTTACGAATGATAAATATGTAAGACACAAGGCAGAAGTTCACCAACCACTGCTCCTATGTGACTGCATTTAAATGTGGTGTTTAAATGCGTTTCCTTGCTTCCCTTCCCACCACGTTCAGTGAATTGTTTGGAAACGGAGTGTTTTCTTGAAAATGCCCATGAGAACGGTGAGCGTGGATGGTGGCATGGCACAGAGCAAAGATCTGAATGGAGCCAAGCTGAGCCCTGCCTCTTCCCTTGCTTTTCTTCATTTAAACTGCATAAGCTGCAGATGAAAAATATATAAATAGGGATTCTATATATAGTCCCAGGATAAAACTGTAGTTCATTTATGACAGCTGACAAATCCAAAATGGGCAATGTAAGTGCATTACAAAATGATTAAACCTCAAGTTCTCTCCCCTCCGGCTAGAAGGGCGCATTAACATTACATTACCCGCTGAATAATGTAATCTGCTGCAGTTTTCTGCCAATTCAGAAATATAGCCAAAATAGCCCTTTCTTTTCTATTTACAGATGGAGTCTCAAAAGCCATCTTCCTTGCGGCAGATACAGCATCTACTCATTTAAGTTTGCTCAGATTCAATAAAATCCGAATCCTACTGAGTTAAAGTTGGATTGAAGCATATTCTTGGTTTTAAGCCATACAAATGGCACGCACGCCCAGGCTTAGGCCCCTGCTCAGGGGATTTCAGAGGTATCGGACTACATATCCCTGGAGTTGAGACTGAAATCAATACCTGGCACTTGTGAGGGATGTAATGGATTCAATCTGACCAAAGCTTTAATTGCGTTTTTCATTATGACACAGGCTTTTCTATGTCTTGTGTTTAGAAAGAGTGTTTCAGAGCACTATATGGAGGATCATCGAATATCCTCATCGATCAGTCTCCTGTTCAGGGTGCTGCTCTCTACATCAAGCAGTCAGATATGTGGATGGAGACGGGGTGTCTCAGGTGTCCCCTTGGCCATCTTCCAAGCTGCAGAGTGCAGAGGTGAAGCAGTAATAATTTACTTCCAGATTTACAATCATAGCTTGATTTTAAGATACACTGTCATTAGCTCTTTCCTAGTTGCAGTCTCATGGTGGCATGATACCTGTTGAAGGATGTGGGGGAAAAAAACAAGTATGTTGGAGAAAAGGTTGTCTTACAGAGAAGTTTAGGTTTGTTGGTTTGTTTTCTCTGGAGTCTTAGATATGTTCAAGGGACAGCAAGCTGCTTCTTAAGAAGCAGATTCAGAGAGTCCAGAAAGGAGTATTGGTCCCTGTGGATTTTTGCAGGGCTGCTTCTTCACCTCTTGGTTCAAACCCTACTTTATGGTACACATCACTTACTACACCGTGGTCCCCTTCAGCTCAAGATGATAGGTGATGAAAGCCATGCTGGAAATGGAGTAAATCTTATCTTTCATCTCCTGTGACCTTCAGGGTTTGGCCAGGACTTGCCCAGGGCACACATCTTATCCGGCTTCCCAGGGAAGGCACAGATCAGAAAGCCCTGGGGGAAACCCCCTGAAACAGCTTGTGCTCAGGTCACGTAAGCAGTACCTGTTTTTCCAGCAAATTCAAAGCCGTGGCTATAAAGAAAGCCAGCTATCAACCTTCTTTTTCAGCAGCTTTAGTGCAAATAGGAAAGAAATAACATCATCCCATTTACATATGGAGTCTATTTTTCCTAGGGAAAAACAACACACTTCTTTCAAAAAGTGCTGTTCTGTCAATACTGCTGCTGTTCACAAAGAGGAGCTATCTGACAATTCAAGCTGAAATTGGCATCTTACTAAGATCTCAGTATCAAGACCTGAATGAAACTGAGCTGGGAATGCTTGCCATATTACACTTCCACTCAAAGTCTTACAACAGCTGGTTTTATCTTCACAGCACTGATCCCTGCTCCATCCAGGAGGTGTGAGAGCTCCTTCCATGGCACACAACAAAGGGAGAACAGAGAGATTTCTATCCATGGTATTGTTTCCTTGGGAGCTACATGCACTGCACAGCGTTCATCCACAGGGATGCTGATCCTAACATAATTTGCCCATCCTGCCCTTTGGCTGCAGTTCCAGATGTTTGCAATACCACTCCTCCTAAATATGACTCTTAGAAATGATTTGTAGTAAATCTTCCAGGACAAAATAAGCACTGTTAGTTATGGAAGTCCTTTAATCTGACTGCACTGATGGACACCAGGAAAACTGCCCTTAAATTCTGCTCTGCTTGGGAAAGCAGGACAGACAGCCTGCTGCAGTCATGTTAATGAAATTTAAAGTGGAGAAACTTAAGGAATAGGTGTGTGGATGTGAGAAAGAGTAAACTGTCAGAATTTGGAGCATGTTGGAAGACAAGAATGTGTGGGTAGCTTCTCCTGCATGAAGAATTGCAGAACTGGTAAGCCAGCTAATAAACCTCCTGGTAGCAGAGATCGCTTACTTCCCCATTGCAACAGATTGAAAGAATTGAGGACAATCTGAATTTTCCTTCATTTCCTTCAAAGAGTAATAGGAAAGCTAATTTGGCTGGTTATTTCTGATAACCCCCTAGTTACTACCAATAACCCAGTGCTCCATCCCTCCTGTGTCCATGAAAGCTGTCCCTGGATGGGTGCCCATTACAGACCCCCCAGGCTAACATGGTTCCAATTGCCCAGAACCACTCACCCTGCTCAGCCTGGCCATGCGGTGTGGCCCCATGCAGTCCAGATGCACCTGAGATCATCTCCT